AGTCAAACTCAGAAAACTGTGAATGCTAAGTAAATATGTCTGGAATGTTTATTGTGTTATAACCAATCATGAGCTAGAACTGCAACCACAGAAATCACAGAAAACTGATGTATTCCATCCATCACAGAACTATAACTTTAGTTTTTAGTTTTTGCTTTGTCCTAAGAAACACCCTCCGTCTTTATATATTACTTCAACTCTAAATAATTGCTATCCTTTTGTATCAAGAACCACATCCAATACTTAGGTTGAGGGATTTTAGAAAGCAAGAATCCTTCCAACACATACAGTTACTCAGGCGAAGCGACGGTCAATTTGACATGGCTATAAATAGGGATGACTGAAAAATTAAAATTTCGGTGGTTGCGCTAACTTTGGTATCATCTTTGGTCAAACTAGTGACTTTGCAGCAAATATTAATATATTACAATCCCTGATCAATCAATGATCACATATAAAGATCCTGGAAAGATTGACAATGATAAATTCAAATGTTTGCTAATTTTGGAATTAGTTATGGCTAACAGTAAACACCTCAATTTTCCAATGTGACTTCCCAAATAAATTTGCACTTGATTAACATACTACAAACATATAATGGAAGACTTCAAGTTTCATCAATATTACTCCTCGCTTTTCGGGGTTATCAAAATAACAAAACAAAATATTGAAAGCACTGATTTGGATTGTTTGCACTTGAGTGATGCGACAGCTGTCAGTCACGTCAGCCTAGCACATTGCATTGGTTTGTGAAAGTATTTTTTTTTTTCATGTTAAAAATATCCTAAACCCTCTTTGCTAGTGTTTAAATAATCTGTAACAGCAATTGTCTAATTTTGTACAACTGAAATAGAGGATTTATTTTGAGACCTTTTGAAACAAAGCAAATTTGTTTCGTGACCAATGGAAACTCATCTGTTTTCTGTGGTTTCTGTGGTTGCAGATCTTGTTCGTGATTGGTTATAACACAAAAAACATTTCAGACATATTTTAGGTGTTCACAGTTTTCTGAGTTTAACTGTAACTACATAATACAGTGTAGCATAGATTTTTATGATTTTATTTTTCCACCTCTCCTTAATTTTAGTAACATGTATGTTAAACACTCGAAACCATGTTTGGCCACATTTCCAGACACCTCAGAGTTTGTCCAAAACACTCCACTACGAGTCATATTTTCAACTCTCTTCTCTGTGTTTAGAAATGTGGTCAAACACAGTCTTTCATGCTATATACTGCATATTTATTTATTTATTTGTTTATTTATTTACTTATTTATTTAGCCATTTGTCTCATCCTCGCAAAGGGTTACGGGGGTGTAGCCAGCATTTTTCAAAGGGGGGGTCACATTGTGTCAAACTTGGGGTACTCACCAGATTGTCATGTCATTTTGGCCACCTGTTGTAGGCTGTTTGCTTGCAAAAGGCTTACAAAAGGGGGGTCACAGGGACCCAGGACACCCCCCCCTCAAGCTACGCTCGTGGGTTTATCTAGTTTGTGCAGTCTAAATACATGTCTGAGATGTTCTCTATAAGATCATCTACAAGGCTGTAGCTAGTGACAGGCAAACCAAGGCACTTGCCTCGGTCATTTTTCTGTTGTTGTTGTTGTTTATAGTTGTCCTAAACACCCTAAACACCTTGGTATAGAATTTAACCATGGACATTGCCTTGTCACAATTTTTCATGGACGTTGCCTTAGTCGGCCCTGCATCTGGTCATTTTTCTTACATTTTATATCATTTTTTCGGTAGATACTGAAAGCGGCAAACAGCCCAGCATCAGTATGAGTCAAGACTGCTCCAGTTTAGACAGTAGCACTATTGGTCCAAGAGGTGTAGGAGATGGAGACAGCCATGCGTCGCTCATCCCTGGACCAAGAAGCTGTACGGTCAGTATTGCAAGCAGCTTTGATAATTTCAACATCAATGCTTGTGACGGCATAGCGGCATCTTCGTCGATTGCTGAAGCCATGGTCATGGAAGGTGACTTTATAGATCGGACTTCTGTTACAACTATCTCTCACCAGGAAAGTACTGTAGATAAGGACAGTTTATCAGTGTTGGAAAGTGTTGGCAGTAATGAAGACGATTAATCACATCTTCCCAACAAGTAGTAAGCCCAGCATGTGGTATCAAATATTTATTTTAATTTGTAGCTTAATCCAGAAGGTTACCACTGAGAAAAAAAGGGAAGATTAATCAGTAATACAAGATATTCAATATTTTTCTTAATTTCAAACATTGTATGTACAATAATGCCTTATAGTTTGTTATGGAAATTTGTGTCCCTTTTTGTTTTGTACACATGTAATATATTAACCCTTAAAAAGACAATGCCAGTAACATGAGCTGGCAGTGAATTTCATTTAACAGTCCAGCTACGTGTAAGAAGGAATTTATAAAATGCAAGAGGGAACTTCATCACAACATCCAACACTCAAAAGAGGAAACAAAAACGACCCTTAGTTACATTATAGGTATTGGATATTGCGGTGAAACACTCTGTCAAGTGGCTGATTGCCTGTAACACAAGTGATAGACTAGAGTAGAAAGAGGGCATAGATGGGTCAGAATAAAATCTGCCAGATCACCAAACGTTTTGTCATGACTGTCTTCATTTTAACTTGATGAATTATTAATGAGTTTGAGGGTAGCTTGTCTTAACTCTGTAATATACATATAAAAAAAGTTCCCTTTTATTTTTGTGTTAATAGTTAGACAGCTCTTTTGCTATCAGTTATTGTACATTTTCAAGTGTTTTTTCAATATTGTATATATCAAACCTAAAAATCATTAATTCTGCTCAAAAGCAGATTCACAGACCTGAAACTTCAGGGTCATTTTTTGTTTCAACTATTTTAATAGTTTGTTTCTGAGTGACAAACATTTGCTCAATGCAGTTGTTTGGAATCTGTTTACAAGTTGTTTCCTTTTGCAAATAGATAGTTAAGAAATGTTGGTACAAAATAAAACATTATGCAGTCCTATTACTAGCAAGTGTCAAGCTAGGTGCTTTGCTCTGGTCATAGTTTGCTGAAATAATTCTTTTTTGGGAAGGCGGCGGGGGCTCGAAGTAGTCATGAAGAGGAAACAAATAAGTCTGAAATTTTAATTAAAATTATGTCAATCTTGCTTAAAATTTTGAACCTTCCGTCTGTCAAGAGTATATCTCAGTCTGATCAATATTGTGCAATTTCCATATTCTTATTGTGAACAATTTATTTGCTTAATTTTATCCCAACTATTATCTGTACGAATCATTTTGAAAAATGCCCAAAAGTTCTTAATATATATTAAGTCAAAAATAACACGAATTCCTTTGTTTTGGGGTGGGTGCTGGTTTTTCTGATGCTGAGTTTTTGCTTGTGTCTTCATTGAATATCACAGATAACAATTATATTAATGTGATTGATTATTCAAGTTTCAAGGCATGAATAGAAGTTAAAAGTTTATGACATTGTGTTGTGTTTTTCTGTAACTATTTGTACATATTGAATCTCAGTCTTGTAATAAAATATAGCATTTGCGGTGAAGTAAGCATTTCACCTTGTAAATACAGGTGCTATTAATATCTATTTGTCTTGACATTACTCAAATAAATGTTTGTCAAATAAAGCTAATTTTTCATCTATTTGATGCGGTGGACCTTTATAATAATTATTGTTTTAAAATCTTTTCCATAAGAAATTTGTTTTTCCAGCCGAGGATGAATCTTCTTATTTTTCTGCCAATTTTACGCCTATGCGGTTACTTGTGTTGTGCCTATTTGCGTTATGACTATTCACAGGATCAGTTTGTTGCCATTCAGCGTTGGCAGCGTTGAATTGATGTATTTATGATTGCGATACTGAGTGTTGAATTTTGTCATAAATATACCTCCATTTGGCATATCGAACATAACACTCCACTGAATACAATTCCTTTGCATTCACCTGCCTCTGTTTGACTTGTAGAAAACAACAAAACCATGGTCCTGGTTCAAGGGGTAAATAAAAGCGATTAGACTTTAACTCGGTAGCCGGGCTGGCTTGGTTTCCGGGACGAATTTTGCATTGTTGTCTGTTCATATGGGAAATTCCAACCCGGCCTACCGGGATGAAATCCAAGAAACACAACCAAAATGGTGGAACATAAACTTGTATCGTTCGCGGCTGTCGTAGCTTTGTGAACTCTTGTAACT